CTCTTCCTCTTCCTCTTCCTCTTCCTCTTCCTCTTCCTCTTCCTCTTCTCTTCTCGTCTTCTCACCTGAAGATGATGTTGGAACAAACACACCTTAATTTAGCCAAGACTGGGTCAAAGTCCATTTTGATTTCTTTTCAAACTGTCTCAGTGTCTTAAATATCTCCCTGCACTCACCACACAGAGCACTGTGCTGTTTCTGGCTGGATCCCTTCCTCCTGTTTCCTTTTTTGATCTCAGTACATGTTTTGTAGAAATGAATATCCTTTAGCTTCTCTCATAATAATTTAGCTTCTGCCACACTGAGAAACGTCTGCGTGACTGTCACGTGCTGATTTGCTCTGCTCCTTTGCACCTTTCCTTTCTTTACTGCTCTGAAAACATCAGTTGCCAACTCCACCAGAGAGATCAGATGGAGGAACAGGCCAGGGCTGAGGGAAGCTTTTGCTTCCCAGTTCGCCTCTAATGTGTTTTCACTCTAAGTGGTGGAAATGTCACTGGCTCTGTTTGCAGCGTTCACTCAAGTGGAATTAATGCTCCTTGTTAGTGATAATATGACTTAATCAGCTTAATTACTGTGAGACATAAGTAGACACCTTTGTGTATTGAATAACTTATGACACACTGGACCAAAAAGCACAAATGAAGGCTTTGAAAATAAATTAAATATGACCCCTAGTGCAGTCTGCACTTTGACTAATGATTCGTCTCCCATGAAATTCAATGGCTTACAAAACTTACATTTGAATAAATGATATATTTTTGCATGTTTTAAACAATAGCAGCGATTTTTTTCTTTCAGCATTCAGAATTCAGAGTGTTTCTCCAGCACTGGGAAGCAGGGCAAATAAGTTCATGTTAAACGGATTGAAAAATAAAACATTTGTGCAGTCAGCTATCAGAAATACATCCAGAGGATCTGCAGGCACTTCTGATGAGATATTAATTTTGATTCATTGCTAGGAATATCTGCAACAACAGGTGAAAAAAAAATGCATCAGAAGAAATGAAGAAAGAGCGAAGATTCCCAGAAGGGTCACTAAAGTCTTCACATCAAATCCGTCCATTTCGGTAATGCCAACAGAAAATATCATTAAATGGCTCCAGAAATATCTTATCATACATTTTGCCTGCATAGAGAATAAAGCATACAAAGGAAAAAGAAGCAGGAAAAGCAAGCATCAATCAAGAAAATTATTATGAGCATTAGTAGGATTTCTGCTAGGCCAGGATGCAGAGACTCTGTGATAACAGGCTGCATGGGAAATCAAAAAATCGGGGTTAAATTGTTATGTGAACCCAGAGAAAAGATGAGCTGTCTGAATTTGTTCTGTTCAATTGCAATGAGTCACCCAATTTCTGTATCCAAATCTTCCTCTAAAAAGCAGTGGAGTTCAGCATGGTGCAGACAATAACTCAGATCTCTACACAGGGATTTTTTCAGCCCAAGACTGTCTGAAATTCAGAGGTTAGTTTAGATTGTAGCATCACAGGGGAGCCTGGCTTGTTTGATGATTCTCCTCCTAAGTCCATGCCCATATTTCTTGGTGCTTTAACTAACAGGACGATTTTTTTGTACTGCCAAGGGTGAAGGCTGAGGGCTCTAGTATTTATTTATCGCTGCACTTGCTCTGCAGTTGTTCAATCTCTATTGACTAAATCTCCAAAGCTTCCCAGAGTACAGATGGAACATATTCACACAGGGATCTAAATGTAAGGAGTTTAACATGGGTTCAATCCCACCTGTATGATCCATCTTGTCCTCACTCTCCTCCTTGATCTTCCTCTAATATCATTCGGTGGAGACAAAGCCTTACACTTGTCTGACAGTGGTATTTTATCAGAGACCAGAGGAACAGGTTTGCCATTTGCTTTGAGTCTCCCCTGGAAGACCAAACTTTAGGAATG